ATCTAGTTTGAGTAGGATTATTTCTGTCAAATGACAACATAGCTTAGAATGAACAGAGCAGCATTTATAACCTTGTGGTCATTCTTGCATCTAGTTTGACTAGTATTATTTCTGTCAAATGACAACATAGCTTAGTATGAACAGAGCAACATTTGTAACCTTGTGGTCATTCTTGCATCTAGTTTGACTAGTATTATTTCTGTCAAATGACAACATAGCTAAGTATGAACAGAGCAACATTTGTAACCTTGTGGTCATTCTTGCATCTAGTTTGACTAGTATTATTTCTGTCAAATGACAACATAGCTTAGTATGAACAGAGCAGCATTTGTAACCTTGTGGTCATTCTTGCATCTAGTTTGAGTATGATTATTTCTGTCAAATGACAACATAGCTTAGTATGAACAGAGCAACATTTGTAACCTTGTGGTCATTCTTGCATCTAGTTTGACTAGTATTATTTCTGTCAAATGACAACATAGCTAAGTATGAACAGAGCAACATTTGTAATCTTGTGGTCATTCTTGCATCTAGTTTGACTAGTATTATTTCTGTCAAATGACAACATAGCTTTGTATGAACAGAGCAACATTTGTAACCTTGTGGTCATTCTTGCATCGAGTTTGACTAGTATTATTTCTGTCAAATGACAACATAGCTTAGTATGAACAGAGCAGCATTTGTAACCTTGTGGTCATTCTTGCATCTAGTTTGACTAGGATTATTTCTGTCAAATGACAACATAGCTTAGTATGAACAGAGCAGCATTTGTAACCTTGTGGTCATTCTTGCATCTAGTTTGACTAGGATTATTTCTGTCAAATGACAACATAGCTTAGTATGAACAGAGCAGCATTTGTAACCTTGTGGTCATTCTTGCATCTAGTTTAAGTAGTATTATTTCTGTCAAATGACAACATAGCTTAGTATGAACAGAGCAGCATTTGTAACCTTGTGGTCATTCTTGCATCTAGTTTGACTAGGATTATTTCTACCAAACGACAACATAGCTTAGTATGAACAGAGCAGCATTTGTAACCTTGTGGTCATTCTTGCATCTAGTTCTAGTAGGATTATTTCTGTCAAATGACAATATAGCTTAGTATGAACAGAGCAGCATTTGTAACCTTGTGGTCATTCTTGCATCTAGTTTGAGTAGGATTATTTCTGTCAAATGACAACATAGCTTAGTATGAACAGAGCATTATTTGTAACCTTGTGGTCATTCTTGCATCTAGTTTAAGTAGGATTATTTCTGTCAAATGACAACATAGCTTAGTATGAACAGAGCAGCATTTGTAACCTTGTGGTCATTCTTGCATCTAGTTTGACTAGGATTATTTCTGCCAAACGACAACAAAGCTTAGTATGAACAGAACAGCATTTGTAACCTTGTGGTCATTCTTGCATCTAGTTTGAGTAGGATTATTTCTGTCAAATGACAATATAGCTTAGTATGAACAGAGCAGCATTTGTAACCTTGTGGTCATTCTTGCATCTAGTTTGAGTAGGATTATTTCTGTCAAATGACAACATAGCTTAGTATGAACAGAGCAGCATTTGTAACCTTGTGGTCATTCTTGCATCTAGTTTGAGTAGGATTATTTCTGTCAAATGACAACATAGCTTAGTACGAACAGAGCAACATTTGTAACCTTGTGGTCATTCTTGCATCTAGTTTGACTAGGAGAATTTCTGTCAAATGACAACATAGCTAAGTATGAACAGAGCAACATTTGTAACCTTGTGGTCATTCTTGCATCTAGTTTGAGTAGGATTATTTCTGTCAAATGACAACATAGCTTAGTATGAACAGAGCAACATTTGTAACCTTGTGGTCATTCTTGCATCTAGTTTGACTAGTATTATTTCTGTCAAATGACAACATAGCTTAGTATGAACAGAGCAGCATTTGTAACCTTGTGGTCATTCTTGCATCTAGTTTGAGTAGGATTATTTCTGTCAAATGACAACATAGCTTAGTATGAACAGAGCAGCATTTGTAACCTTGTGGTCATTCTTGCATCTAGTTTGACTAGGATTTTTTCTGTCAAACGACAACAAAGCTTAGTATGAACAGAGCAGCATTTGTAACCTTGTGGTCATTCTTGCATCTAGTTTGAGTAGGATTATTTCTGTCAAATGACAACATAGCTTAGTATGAACAGAGCAGCATTTGTAACCTTGTGGTCATTCTTGCATCTAGTTTGACTAGGATTATTTCTGTCAAACGACAACATAGCTTAGTATGAACAGAGCAGCATTTGTAACCTTGTGGTCATTCTTGCATCTAGTTTGAGTAGGATTATTTCTGTCAAATGACAATATAGCTTAGTATGAACAGAGCAGCATTTGTAACCTTGTGGTCATTCTTGCATCTAGTTTGAGTAGGATTATTTCTGTCAAATGACAACATAGCTTAGAATGAACAGAGCAGCATTTGTAACCTTGTGGTCATTCTTGCATCTAGTTTGACTAGTATTATTTCTGTCAAATGACAACATAGCTTAGTATGAACAGAGCAACATTTGTAACCTTGTGGTCATTCTTGCATCTAGTTTGACTAGTATTATTTCTGTCAAATGACAACATAGCTAAGTATGAACAGAGCAACATTTGTAACCTTGTGGTCATTCTTGCATCTAGTTTGACTAGTATTATTTCTGTCAAATGACAACATAGCTTAGTATGAACAGAGCAACATTTGTAACCTTGTGGTCATTCTTGCATCTAGTTTGACTAGTATTATTTCTGTCAAATGACAACATAGCTTAGTATGAACAGAGCAGCATTTGTAACCTTGTGGTCATTCTTGCATCTAGTTTGACTAGTATTATTTCTGTCAAATGACAACATAGCTTAGAATGAACAGAGCAGCATTTGTAACCTTGTGGTCATTCTTGCATCTAGTTTGAGTAGGATTATTTCTGTCAAACGACAACATAGCTTAGTATGAACAGAGCAGCATTTGTAACCTTGTGGTCATTCTTGCATCTAGTTTGAGTAGGATTATTTCTGTCAAATGACAACATAGCTTAGTATCAACAGAGCAGCATACGAATAACAAAGGAAGCAACCTTTTGTTCTCAATTTTAAAGAGAATCCACATTTTTACTTTATCAGACTATAATAGTAAAATGATAAATGTTGACATCACTCATGGGCATAACCAGGATTTTTTTTTGTGGGGGAGGGGTTGTAGTGATTTTTTTTTCTACACACATAGCCTACATATACTTGTGTGTGTGTTCATATGTAATTAATCTTTATTACATTTAGTCCTTTCAGGTTGGTTTTTTTTTTTTTATAAAATTTTTTGTATCATGGAATAGGTTTTTTCTGGAGCTAGTGGAATGACAGTAAACACCCACCTCTTGCCAACTAGGTGGTCTGGGAGAGCACTTTGATTTCTCCATAGGGTCTGGGGCTAGCATTATTTCCAGCTATTTGAAACTAAAAAATGCATATTCTGAGATGTCTACAGTGCACTATTCCAATACTCTTTATATTAAAAGATTGTAGGTCAAATTTCAAATCTTAATTACTGCACTTTATTGATTTAGCCCAGATACTGGTAGAATTTGGTAACTATAGTTTTGCTTTAATTTTTTGTTATGGAAAAATTCCATTCCATCCCACCCACTCACTCCTGCTGCGGGATTTCATTTTAAGGTGGGGCCATGATCACTCACTATATGTGTTGATATTACTATGATTGATGATATATTTATGCATACTTTTTTGATAAATTTGACATATTGCTATAAATGTGTTGATAAAGCTTGACATGTTTCATATCACAGTGTTGATAAAATTTGAGTCTATAGCTCCAAACTAGTTTGTTTACACAACTGCCAAATGTTTTATTCCCCACCAAACAAATTTGTGTTTTGTTTTGTTTTTCAGATAAAGACAAACATGAGAAGCTATATTTAGTACGTAGGGCACACGAGAGTGGTGTTGTGGAGGAGTAGTCTCTTTTTGGTACTTCATAAATCTGTTGCATTTCAACACTAGCTCCATAGTGAGGGCATTTGGTCTGAGATCTTTCCATCTTCATGGGACAAAAGTCTTCTTTTATTTATTTCTTCTGGAGTGGACAATGTATCTACCATGAATAAACCAAACTGCCAGATGTACTGTGTTATTGCTAAGTTGTTTTCAACTAGTATTAGTCCACTATTTTTTTTCAAGTTTTTTTTGTTTTTAATTTTTCAGTTTTGTTTTGTTTGTTGTTGTTTTTCACATGTATTTTATTTTTCTAGGTCAGTGCTTGGTTAACAAGAATTTTAAAAAAAGGCTACATCATAAAAAAAAAATTTTTTTTTGTTTTCATAGACTGTATAGTACATTCTCTAAGGCTGTACTGTATATTCTCTAAAGCTGTACTGTACATTCTTTAAGGCTGTACTGTATATTCTCTAAGGCTGTGCTGTACATTCTCTAAGGCAGTACTGTACATTCTCTAAGACTGTATAGTGCTGTTCAATAGTAACAATTTTCCTTTGAACATTGATTTCACATCATCTTTATGGGCAGTTAAGATGTGCAAACATTTTGGGGGGAAATATTTTTTATATTTATCAGTTTCTCAAAGTGGTTTTTCTTATTCATAATGTCACACCTTGCAGAAGTGACATATGTGTTCACAGATAGTGCTGTCACATCAATGTCCAAAGTGGTCATTGTTTTAGTTTATTTATTTTCGCCCTTTAAGTTCTCACTTGTCTATATGGCGTCTGTCACAAATAGATGATGGGACAAAAGAAAATGCCACATTGTCATGTTGTTTTGTCATCATAGTCGATGTCATATAGATGTCATGTGTGTCACCCCCATGGCTGCAGTGTATATAATGTCTTCGCTACTTCATTTTCACAGTGCTATTTAAAAGAAAATTATCCACAACTAATGTGTGACATTTTATACCGGAGAATAAGGTACAGGCTGGATGTACAAAGAATAATGGACAAAAGTTCATGATAAAATAAAGGGGTAACATCAAACACATACACAATAGTTACATTCTAATATATCTTTCTTCTTTTATCATAATCCCACCCAAACATACTTTCACTTTTCAAAAACACTAAATTGAATATTTCCTTGATTTTACTTTTTTTCCCCCTCCATATTTTGTTAGAAACTAAAGTCATTTTCTGTTACCACCAGCAATAAAAATTTAGGCAGATAGATGGTCTGGGGTCACCAGGTCAAGGTTGTCATCATGTCTACTTTAATTGACTTTACTTCCGTTTACTATCAATGGCAAATGTTATACAAATGTGTTATGTTTTAGAAGTCTTGGTGAACTAATGTCTTGTCTCTATGTTTCAGTGTTAGATTAGACTGTCATGGTGAAATATTGATCAGTGTTACTGTCATTCATTTTTTTTTGTTTTGATTCTAAGACATCTTGTTTATGAAAAAACCCAGAAATCAGTGATTTTGTGATGTAAATATGTTGTTGCTGAGTTGTAAAACCCAATGATTAATTGAATCAGTTAATTGCCCGGTTCAGTGAGATTTTCTAATTAGGTTCCCTTCTAATTGTCTACTTCATCAAATACACAATTACTTTTTTTTTCCAGCATCCTTTTAAGTACTGAACAAGATGTAAAAACTAAGTTGACTAGTAGTTTGTATTAAATCTATGTAGAACAGGCTTAAGGGTGTTAAGCAATTTGAAAACAGAAAATAAAGTGTTGTGTTCATCTTTATAGGTGACAAACAAAGGTCATTTATAATTACTAATAGGCTGTTCTAAAGCTCCTCATTTATCCATTACATCAATATAGTTTCTTCAACAAATGTAGCAAATGATATAAAAATATATTCACATTTAATGTGCACTAATTTTGACATTGGTATTCTAAGGTCTACAAATTATATTGGTCTTTTAAAACTAACGCACATTTATTAAAATACAATCAGATGTTTTTTGTTTTATTTAAAACAAGCAGACACAGAACTTAATCACCATTTTAAAGATAGACAATAGAGTATATTAATTTATTTAATCCATTGAAATAGACATGGACAATTCTTATTTTTTAAATTATTCCCTCCCCTCTAATACAGTAAGTATTATCTTGAAGCACTTTTTAAAATTTAGAAATATAACAAAGTTCAAAAATTGTTTTGGACAAAACTGCTTTACATATCAGACTTATTTCTTTTTAGAATTTGCATCTAACTCCATACTTTGTTTTCAAGAAGAATCTAACGTCTGTGATAAAAAGCTTCATCTGTGGTACAAAGTAAACTAAATGTTTTAAAGTATTCTAAATCTAGATTTTAGACAAAAAAAAAAAAAACAGACCACATGAATGTCATTAAAACTAAAATTTAAATCTAGATTATTAATTACAAAAAAAAAACTTTATTTACTTCTGTGTTATTATTCCTAAATGAAATTTTTAAAAATGTTCAAATTTATTTTCTGTTTCACAATAAATAAACCTATTGATCAAGTGAAATGAAGTTTTAATTTTCTGTGTCACCAGTTTTTCAATAATTACCAACCCTTTGCTTCTATCAACTGCAAACATAGTCACAGTAAGATTTGGTCTATTTTTATTTCATAAATGTGCATTTTAGTTAAATTTTAATTTTGAATGTTTTTCTCCATTAGGATAACACTGCAATGGTCATTAACGCCACACAATGGCATGAAGACAACAGTGCAGTTTTGCTCTCTTAACATTATACAAAAGTGATTGATCACAATTTATAGTTGACAACTAATCAGAGGAACACCATTAGAAGTGAACATCATAATAACTAGCTGATACCTGTGCTACACTACAGTTGAAATAAGTTTATTTGGGCTGGAACACTCTTTAACACATCAACCAAATGGCCTGCATTACAATGCTCCGGCACACACACACAATTTTCTAGCCCTCAAATTAGGTCCTTTCTTTCATCATACTAACAAAGGGCCCGCAACCACCTGTTATAGAGTATGCACACTTCCTTGGTTTTCCATCTGCACTCTAATGCTCTTTATATATATAAAATATTTTCAAATGAATCTTACCCAACAGCACACTTTTGGCTATTGTATCTTCTAATAAATTGATTGCCCTAGAAATCTACAACTATACCCAATATTGCGGCTATGCTACTTTTAGTATGCGTATATCCCCCTGAACACTTTTGAAACTATCAATAAAGCAGTCCCCTTATTTTTTTTCTTCCAATACTATTTTTAATGACACGCCCCACGGTACACTTTTTGGCCATTATATTGCAATAATATTACTTTTTTTTTTAAAATCCTCCAATAGAAAGCCCTCGATCATTCTCGACCTCGAACTTTTATTAAGCTGCCCCAATTTTGTTTTTTCATCCTTCAACTGAAAGGCCGGTAAAGTTTTAAACAAAGTATACCTTCCTTGCACATAATAATGCAGCCAAACTACACACATTTCCTAATAATGCATCCAAACTACACACATTTCCTACCTGTAAATAATAGAAGTAGTGACTGATAAATAGGGCCTACTTTTTTTTAAAAAAGCTTTTGTTCTTCAAGCAGAACAGTGTGAACGCAGAAACATCAGTATTCGCAACTTTCGTTAGTTTGTAGATCTAGAAAGGCACCCTATTTAGAATGACCAATCTTCACCAACCCTATAGTATTAATTAGTAGGCCTATTATACACCACCCCTTCAAAACACACACATTTTAATAGACCCTTATATCATGGCTGTTTCCACAAAAATCTGTCACTGGTAATGTCGGAAGCCTCTTCCCACCTGCTCTCAGGACCTCCATGAATGTGTGGCGCCAAGTTGTACTAGAATGTCATCGCAACTCTTATTATGCGTAATTCATTTTGTCAGAGAACATGTCCCGCAAACCACATGCGACGCTGTCACAATCTTACTAAGGGATCGACTCCCAGTTCGGCATAAGATTTCCTTGATTTAGACCCGATTTCTATAACTGACTCCTAAAATCTATCTTAGGATTCTTAGCCATCTTTGAAGCCACATTTAGTGTTTTTCAATTTTGGCAGATGACTATTCACTGCACTTTATTAATGGAGCCCCGACACTGGTAGAAATGTGTAACCTCTCTTGAACATGTTCTTGGAATTAGGTGACTGTAGTTTGCTTTAGATTTTATATCGAAAAGGGAAGTTTTATCGTCAAAATCATCTGTTGGGGATTTCAATTCAAAACCCCATTTAGCTACGGTCATAGAATTTGATGACTGTAGTTGCTTTAGAATAATATTGATGATAGAGATTTTCCACGTCAAATTCTCTGTAGAGGAATTTTAAACTCAAAACCATCTGGAGGGGGTTTTAAACTTTAAAAAAAAAAACATCTGTAGGAGAGGGGTTTAAACTCAAAACCCCTCCATTGGCTTGGCTACGCTCAAATAATTTTAGTGTGTAATTTGCTTTTTTTTATATTGAAGAGGTATTTTTTAGCATCAAACCCATCTGAAGAGGGGTTTAAACTCAAAACCCCTTTTGGCAATGCTCATAGATTTTAGAGTGTGTAATTTGCTTTTTTTTTTATATAAAACAGGTATTTTTTATCTTCTAACTCCACTGGAGGTGAGTTTAAACTCAAAACCTCTTTGACCACACTTATAGAATTTTGAGTGTATAATTTGCTTTGTTTTTAATATTCATGACTAGATTAACGCATCATGTGTTGGATGTAGGGTTCGCCTCCTCCACACTGTACATAGGTTGCACAGTTCTCAGCTGCCCCCACTGTTCAGTAGGCCTACTGGTACCGATTTCTCTAGAGCCCAAGCCACAACCACAACGTCAATAAAAGAAACCTCTAGCACCTTCTGACAATGAGTTCCATTAGAACTACACCACTTGCTCTCTGAACTTCAGTACTCTAGAATGTTTCAATAATGGGCGATGACAAGGAATCAAAACAAGTAAACTGACACCATGTTTCTCTTAGTGATCACTGACACTCCCCTCACGCTGATAGCAAGAATTACCAAATTGTTCAATCTATCATTGCGAATTAATTGACCTCAAATCATTCTTGATTAGTTCACGGTGCGAGAAACTTCTTTCACCAGATGCCACCGTTACAGATATTGTATAATGTCGTTTTCTTTTGTTGTTTTTTTTTCGTGTGTAGGTTTGGGGTTTTCCATACTTGAATGACACCCCAATATGGCAATTTTGTCCGTATTTCAGGAGACTTGTATGAGTTTTCAGGAGCTTTAATAATTTCCTAAAATTTCCAGGACTTTTTCATATATTTTGTAATTTCAGGAGATTTCCAGGACCTAAAAATCAGGAGGTTGCAGGAACCCTGTCATAGGCCTATAAGTTGTATAATGGTTTAATTTAATAATTTACACATAGAATTTGCGCGAGGCCTATAAAGTGCCTAACGCCAGCCCTGGTCCTGGTAAAAAGAAAAAAAAAGCTGAAAATGTAATTTTAAAAAATTTTATTTGTTGATGTTATCCTTTGTTAAAAATTTCATTATTGTAGAACCGGTAAATAACAATGAAATTACATTTTATAGTGGACATAAAAATATGCATACATTTCATATTCACAGCCATAGACTTCACAAATAGCCATGACAATCTAGAATGCTAATAAATAAACAACATTTTTTTTTCAAACATTTACAAGCAAACATAGATATATATATATACTGGTATATATACATATTTATGAAAAACTGAAAAATAAAATGTTCAAATAGTTACAGCCATAATTTTCTTTGCATTTTATAAGGTCTTTACAATTCTTTGTTATTAAGTATATATTCTAATCTAATAATAAAACTCAATATGCCAACTTTTATCTTTAGCTAAAAAAACAACTGTAGAACTTAAAAATTGTATAGTTACCTATTTTGGGTATACTCCAGATGTGACTATTAATCGGATGAAAGCTATGGTTGGATGTTGTCCAAACAGTATTTCCCCCTTTCTTCATGCAGCTGATGTGTCCAAAAGAATGACAGGCATTCCATCTGTTGGGCTGCAGGTTGTGCCAAGGTGTACAGGATCCTGATTTTCATATGGGTTGACTTCCAAAGCCTTTCCCTTGTTTAGGTATAGCTGTAAGGCAGTAGAGGTTTGGATTCAGGTATCCTAGGTATGTAGTCAGCCAAGGCTAATGAGTCCCTCGTGACCAAAACAATGACCTATTGGATCACAGCAAAACTCTTGAGGTCATTCACAAAAGAACCAAATCAATGATCTCAGTCTTACTTTAAATCATTGGTTAGTAATAAATTTTTAAAAAACTTTTGTACAGATAATTTAAAAAAGTGTAGTGTGCAACTTCATTTCCAATCAGATTCTTAAATTATAACCATTTTGAGTCCTAACAACCAAATAAGAAATTGATTTCTTTATATGTTTAACATTTGCTCACCTGTAGATTATTAACAACAAACATATTTTAAAAATTAAGTAAAATTAAGTAAAAAACATTTGCTGCAATGAAAGTGAAACTAATTTGTATCAAACACAACACCAGCTGCAGCTTTTCTCTTCCTGCTTGATGGATTGACAACACTCATGCCAACTTTAGTCACTTTAGCCTTAGCAGTAATAGAGTTTTTCACTGTACTTGATGCCATCATGGAAGTTATTGAACTTTTCTGATCTTTGAATACTTTGATTTGATCATTGGCATTGGAAAGTTCTGTTTCCAATTGTGACACATGCATGGCTAAGGATAAAACCACAGACTGTAATTCTAATTTCTTTTCTGATGCTTTTGGTTCAAATAAATCTAAGGTAACAGATGAGGTATCTTTGACAAAAGTTAGTTGCATCTTGTTTCCAATGCAGGCAAGTGAAATGGTGCCACTGGATGAAAAGCCATTTCTGAGAAAGAAAATACATCATATTTAATATGATATAAAATTGCACAATATTGTGTAGTACCGGTAAGCTATATTTTATTTTTAAGTTACAGGTGTCCCTTCTAGAGACAAGACCCAGTGAAGGTGCTAGCACATAAAAATAAAAGTAAAGCACCCCTGTCAGAACCTGTGATCTTTGGGGCAGACGATGTAAAGGTCATCTGTTGCTGTGACACAGGGTTAATGTCAAATGACCAGCACAACAACCCACCAGCTTTACTATCTTCCAATTATGTTAGGTACCCATTAGAATTAGGTGGGCTCAGAGGCGCCTTAAAAATTCTTAAATTTGAAATGCCAGTCTACACCGGGATTTGAACCTGAGACCTCTCAGTTTGGAAGCCAAGCGCTTTACCACTCAGCCACCATACCATCAGCACACAATCATTGATATCCATTTTTAAAGTATATACCTCACAACTAGGCAGCCAGTCAGTGACTCCAGAAGGCTTTGTTTGAGTCTTTTATAGCCCCAACTGAGAACAACCACTGAAGCTAAGATTGTAAAAAAACAAACTTATAGTCCAAAGCAAGTCCTGGAACAACAAGCACTGGACTGGAATTCCAAGAGAAAAGAGAGACCAAGTGGAAAG